CCTGCGCCCCCCACTCCGAGACAGCATCAGTATGAAACCCCCCTTCCACCCTCATCAGGGCTCCAGCTCAGGCTCTTATTGTCTGGACTCCTGAAAATAAGCCCTGACCCAGCCCCTTCCCTCTCGCCCTTCGTTCATGACTCTGGAAAGCAAACCTGACCTTAGGACCTCTGCCTAACCCCCACCAGGAAACTGAGGCACAGAGAAAGGAGATGACTGGGCAAGATGGGCATCTGGTTCCACAGCACCAGCCCCTCAGTGGCCGAGACCTGACTCCCTTTGAGTCTGGGCAAGTGACTTGTCACCCCCCACCCCTCACCACCCCCCTCCCCACACCACAGTGAACCTCCTCCCCCATCCCTTGTCCAGGCTAATTTAGTGCCATGAACCCTCTAGTAACCCAGCCAGAGTTTGGAGGCTTTCCCTGCCCAGGGGCCCCACGTCCCCTTGAGGCCACTCCTTGACCTCCTTTGGCAAGAAATTGGGCCACAAAGATTCCCTGGGTGATCTGTGCCGGCTCCACTGTGTGACGATGGACGTCACAGCCATGGGGGTCCCGGGAGGCCAAGGGGGTGGGGCAGAGGCAGGCAGGATGGCGGATCCAGGCCAGGCCTCTGTCCCTCTCACAGAGCGGCCTCACAGCACCCTCCTAGGCACCCCTACTGCAGGGGCCCTTTTCGGTTTCTACTCTTTGGGGTTGGGGCCTACATCTGTTGGTGCTCGCGATCACCCCCATGGTGCTCAGGGAGTGTGTGGAGCTGGGGAAGGAGCAGTCTTGGGTTCCTGCATCCACTCACGAGTGCATCCCATGGAACTCTATCTGCATTCCTATATTGGCGCTTACAAAAATAGGTGTGTCCCATCCCAGCTGGAGCCCTGCAAGGGAGGCGCCTGAATCCCCCCCCCCCCCGACTTGACAGGTAGGAAACTGAGGGAAGTGGGTGCCAGAGCCAAGCACCCCTCTTAGAACACTGTGATCTCAAGGACCCCCTTCCTGTTGCATCCTGCTCCCCCAGACACACCTAACTTCTCAGCCACCCTACACCGTGCCCCTTTCCTGCCTCAGGATTCCACAGTCCCTCTACCTCTGTGAATACAGAGCACTCTTGCTTCTCCACAGCAGATGCCAGAGTCTGGGGGCTCCTGAGTGTGGAAGCTCAGACTAGGGGGTGGGGGGCATAACCACCCACAAAGAGACCAGGTCCCCAGAGCAGAGAAGCACAGCAGTGCCCTGCCTCCAGTCAGAGAGGCTTCCCATGGGGGGTTGGGGACACAGTCGGGCTCTCAGAAGGGTCCTCTGTGCCAGGTCCTGGAAGGGGGAAGAAAACCCATAATTTGAAAAAGAAAGGTGGGGCTGGAGCGATAGTACAGTGGGTAGGGCCTTTGCCTTGAAGGAAGCCGACCTGGGTTTAATTCCTGGCATCCCGTATGGTCCCTCAAGCCAGGAGTAATTCCTGAGCAGAGAGCCAGGAGAACCCCCTGAACACCATTAGGTGTGACTCCCAAACCAGAACAAAGAAAGGAAGAAAAGAAAACCTCGTGATCGAGATGGCTCATGCAGGCAGAGAACTGTGTAGAGAATTCTGGGCGGTCAGTCAAGGTGGCATGATACAAGCTGGACATATCAGGAGGCCAACGAAGGCCCCATACCCACCCTCTGGTATATTTAGGTGGGCAGAGACAGCTTGGAGCTCAGGTGCCCACCAGCTCTGGGTCTGAGCACAGTGGGTGCCTATGTGAATTTTTGGACATGTGAATTTCGCAGGGTAAAAAGTCTGTGATTGGGCCGGAGAGATAGCACAGCGGGTAGGGCGTTTGCCTTGCATGCGGCCGATCCAGGTTCGATCCCCGGCATCCCATATGGTCCCCCAAGCATTGCCAGGAGTAATTCCTGAGTGCAGAGCCAGGAGTGATCCCTGAGCATCGCTGGGTGTAACCCAAAAAGAAAAAAAAAAGAAGTCTGTGATTCGGTGCCCCTGGTTGCTTAAAAGAACACAAAAGCCAATGTCCTGCCTGGCTGGAGAGATAGTACAGGGCTGAAGGCGTTTGCCTTCCATGCAGCTGACCTGATTCAATCCCCAGCACCACATAGGGGCTCCCATGTTCCACCGAGGTCGCTCCTGACACAGAGCCAGGAATGCCCCCCTCCCCCAGCACTGCTGGGTATGGCCCAAGGCCGGAGCCTCAAAGTGAATGTCACGAGAACAGGAAGCAACTAAGCAGCTTCCAGGGCACAGGTGGACCCAGTGTGCCCTGGAAGGGAAAATATAAGGAGACTGGAAGGTTCTCAAAGCAGTGGGCACAGTTGTTTTCCTGACACCCTGAAGCTCCAGGTTCAGAGTTGGCCTCTAAGCCCCCAGTTCTCCCACTCAGACAAGCCCCAGTGAGCACATCCCAGGTTCCGTGGGCCTCTCCGGCCACCAACCAGCCTGGTTCTCCAGAACAGGAGACGTCCCACTGGGGGTGCGGGTGGGGGTGGGGGTGGGCAGGGGGTGGAATGTGGCATCAGAAGTGATGACTAGTCACCTTCCGGTGACCCAGAGCCCCCCTCCCAGGCAGCAGGGTCAGGGAGGCCCTGCTCTGAAAGCCTCCTTTTCATGCCGCCCACTGGCCCCTGGACCCATGGAGGGGCCTCTCACGCTCTCTGAGAGCCTCATTCATTCATCTCTCCAAGCTGAGGTATGGGGGCACGAGGGCCTCCCGGCCCCAGAGGCGCTCCCCAGAGTGAAGCCAACTGGCCGTGAACTACAGAGCGCAGAGCCTGGCAGCTGAGGGCAGCAAGGGCCGCAGCTTGAGGGACTGGGAAAGCCCCTCAGAAGACAGGACAGCAGTTGTGTATGGGGCACCCGAGGAGAGAGTGGAGTGCGGGGGTTGGCGGGGGGGGCACAGAACATTTGTCTCTGCTCGCTGTGGAGAGAGGGGGCACGGGTCCTCCAGACAAGGGGGACAGCAGGCGCATGCGTGTGAAAGAGTGCGTCTTACGTTGAGGGTGTTGGGCACAGGGAGAGGAGAGCTGTGGGGCTGGACACCAGACCCGTGACGTAGAACTTGTCTCCTGGCACTACATGGTGCCACAGAAGGTTCTGGGGAGAAAGTCACATGTTCTAAGTGTCTTTACCACAGCTCAGAGCTTCAGGCAAAATGGCCTCTCTCTGGCCCTCTGGCCTCAGTCACCTTGGGTTCTGCCTGGGCTGAGTCCCCACCCAACGCTTGGCCACCATCTCCCTCCTGGCCTCAGCCTTCAGCATGGCCTCTCTCTTCTTCTCAGGGGCCACCAAGGCAGGGGGACTGGGAAAGGGCCCTCAGGGGCCTTGTGCTTCGCTGTCACCTGGTTTCCTCACAGTCTTTTTCAGGCTCCCGGGCCCAGTGCTTACCAGAGTTCAAGGCTGGGCCTTGGCATAAGCCTGCTGGGTTGCATGGCACAAGCAAGACCCACGGGGTTCTGGAAGTGTCCACCCCTCATATCAGGTCCCCACCCTCAATTTTCTTTTTCCAGTGACTGCCGTATCCCCCACAACCTTGGGGTCCACCACTGCTCTCCCACTCTGGGTTTTGCTTGGGGTCTGAGCTTCCTGTCAGCCCCTTAGATCAGCCTCTTTCTAATCCCCCAGAGGCTTGGGGACCCCAGAGGTTTTCTTTCAGATTCCCCCACCTTCGCATCTGCTGTGATGTTTGTTTGTTTGTTTTGGGAGGGCACACCCAGCAGTACTCAGGGGTCACTGCACTCAGGAATCACTCCTGGAGGATCAGGGTAAGATATGGGATGACGGAGCTCCTGGGTCATCTGTGTGCAAAGCAAGCACCCTACCCACTGTGCTATCTCTCCTGCCCTGTGATCTCTTTACTTTTTTTGGCCCACACTGGAGGTGATCAAGGTTTACTCTGAAGTCAGGATCCCTCCTGGCAGTGCTCAGGGGATCAAATGGGGTGTTGGGAATGGAACCCGGGTGGTCCGCAGGCAAGGCAAGCACCCGACCCGCTGTACTATTGCTCCGGCAGCACCTGCTGTGATTTTTTTTTTTTTTGCCAGCGTCCCCATTCCCTCCATCCTCTGAATCCTGCCCTACGGCCATCCACCAGCAGCATCTTTATTTCTCTTTCACAGAGAAGCCGCCAGAGTGGGGATTCAGAGTGGGCGAGCAAACAGCTCAGTGCCGCTCCGGCTCCCCTTGAAATGCGGCTGGAGAGCGACCCCCGGTGCCAGCCGCGTGGTCTGGGCAACACCACTTCTTCCCACTTTGATCTTCATCCCTGAACCGGGGGAAGCTTCTGCCCAGGTTTCTAGCGGGCTCACAAAGAAGTTCACGGGCTGGGCTAGTTCTAGCCCTGGGCTCCCGCGGAGACCCCCACCCGGGCGCTCCCGGTACCCGCCTCGGCACCCCTGCTCTGCACGCCCGCGCTTTCAGGCTGGCACCGCGCTGGGGCGCCGCGAGCGCTGGGAGGAAGAGCCGCTCTTTATTCCCGAAAACTTCCTGAAATCTGAACATCTCGGCGCCGCCGGCCGACGCTCACGCCCGGGCTCGCAGCCCTGCAGGCGGGGAGGGCGCGCAGGGCCGGGGAGGGCGGCGGCGGTCGCGCCCTCCGAGCCCCGGGGACCCCAGTGCCCCGGGCCGCCCCAGCGCCCCCGGCCCTCTGACGCTCGCCTTCTTCTTCCCGCGCCTCCCGTCCCCTCGGAGGCCCCCAAACCTGCCCAGCCCTGGGGCTCCGAGCATCCGGGTCCCCGGGCTACCTTCTCCCCCACCTCACCCCACCCGCTCCATTGTCCTCTCCCCGGCCGCACCTCTCCCCGGCCGCCCCGCCCTCCCCGAGGTACCGTTCGCATTCCGCAGAGCGCCGCTCACTCTCCGCTCTCCCATTGGCTCCTCCCGGGTGCGGGGGCGGGACCCGAGGGGAGCCCCGCCCCTGTCCCCGCCCCGATTCCGCCCCGCGCTCCGGGCCGGGCCGGGCCGGGTGGGCGTGGCCCGAGGCTCCGCCCCTCCGGGGCGGGGCGGGGCGGGGCGGGGCGGCGCTCGCCGGGGCTCGGGCGCGGGGCGGCGCTCGCTGCGCGGCTCGGCTCGGCTCGGGCTGCGGCTCCGGTGGGGGCAGCGGCGGGGATGACAGCGGCCGCGGCGCGCGGCTGAGCGATCGCACGGCGAGCCGGGGCCGGAGGAGGAAGTGAGCGGCGGCTGGGCTCCACTTTCCACTCGGAACCGGGAGGGACTCCCGGCGCCGGGCGCCGCGCCGGGACCCCCGTCGGCCCTGCCCTGGTGCACCTGAGCGGAACGCTCTGGCCCCACCATACGGCTCGTCCCGGGCGCGCTCGGCCCCGGCCGTGCTGGAGTGAGCGCCCCCCGCCCCCCGGCCCCGACTGAGCGTGGAGGAGACCCGACTGCCCCCAGCCCCGGCTCCCGAGCTCTGAGCCGGCAGCTGCTCCCGGCCCGGTGCTTGGGACTTGGGACCGTGCACACGCCCGACCAGCGCCGGCCCGAGTCCAGCCGCCCTGGGAGGGACCTCCAGGTGGGCAGGACCGTCGGACTGAATCGGACCGGGCTGGTGCTGGTAGCCGAAGCGGCCACCTTCCTGCTGCCCCAGGCGAGGGAGTCCGCGCTGACCCCCGACGGAAGACGGGCGGCCGTTCCCCAGGCCAGCGAGCACCCAGAGCCGCAGGTGAGAGGGCGCCGGATGCCGCTGCGGGTGGCCCGACCCCATCCGGGCCGCGCCGGGCCAGATGCGGGCTTGGAAGGGAGGCCGGGACTTGGCCCGGAGGGCACGCGGGAAAGCCGGGGCGGGGGAGGGGGCACTTATTGAGCGCCCATTGTGTGCGGTCCGCGCCCCGTTCTTGCACAAACGGTCAGTCATTGAAGGCGCACTCCTTTAGCGGTGTGCAAGAAGCCTCGCGGTGGATTGCCACGGGCGCTTACAGACGGGGAAACTGAGTCCCAGTCGGGTGGGGAAGCTCTGTTTTCACGCGGGGGATTTGTCTGGGGATGACTCTGCGGGGCGGGGGCGGGGGTCTAAGGGGAGGATACAGAAGAGAAGAAGCAAGAACGGGAGGAAATGGACAGAGGGGCTATCCCGGCCCCAATGCCCAGGCTGCGGGGCAGCGGGGCGGGGTGGGGGGGGAAGGGGGGTCTTGTCTGCTCCCCTCCCACTCCACGGCCAAGTTCCATCCCCAGGGTGACCCAGAGTTAGGGTAGTGGTGGTGAGCACCCCAGATGTCCAGCATCCCTCCCAGGTGCCAGACAGTGACCCCTGGCTCTGCCTACTGCGCAGGCTCTCTGAGACCCTTCAGGGGTCCCGAGATGCTGCTTCTTTAGTGAGGACTTCAGAGCCAGCTGAGATGAGGCTTAGTCAGCTCAGCGCCTCCCTGTGGGTGGGAATACTGAGGGTGAGACGCGGGGACCTTGATCAAAGGACTAAGTCAGAAGACCCCTTACGAAAACCTTCCAGGGGCCTGAGGGATAATACAGCAGGTAGGGTGTTACCTTGCATGCGGCCGACCAGGTTTGATTCCCCTGCACCCCATATGGTCCCCCAAGCACCACTAGGAGTGATTCCTGAATTTCCTGAATGCAGAGCCAGGAGCCACCCCTGAGCATCACAGGGCGTGAAACAAAAACTATAAAAGAAAAAGAAAACCTTCCCAGACTCCTTTGCCCCACGAAGCTACTGGGGGGGCTGTCTGGGGCTTCCCCACCCAAAGTGAGGTCAGCCTGACCATGGGTTAAGTTGCGCAGAGACTGGGTGGTTCTTGCTGGGGACCCAGACAGTTCAGTGGCCCTTCTGTAGCCTTTGGACACAAGCTCAGGTTCTGCCCTGTGCCTGCAAGACAGCCCAGGAGGGCAGGGACTCATCAAGGTCTCCTGACTAGAGGTGGGGAGGGGGGGGGCCTCCAGCTTTGGGGGCATAGCCCAGGTGTCTGCATTCCAAGGTAGCTTCCTTCTGCTCCCCACCCGGGGCCATGCAGGGAGAAGGGCCTTGTGAAAGAGCCTTGGCAGACCTTCTTGTTCTGGGTGGGGAAGGGGAGGGAATGTGGCCTGGGTCTCAGCCCATGGCCTTGGCTGGTCCTGGTTAACCTCTGCTGCGCTCCCCGCTCCCGGGCTCCCGGGCATTGGAAGAAGGTGCAGGGTCAGCCGCCCGAAAGCTCCATCCCTGAAGGTGGTCACGGTGGTGGTGGGGAGAATGGGAAGAGAACGTGAGGTCTTGGGACCCCCCACTGCCCCCCTCCACGGAGATTCCAGGGCTCACAATAACCCCTGCATCTAAACAAAGCTCCTCTTTGATGAAATCATTTCACACCTGTGATCTCATTTCATGGCGCGCTGGAGAAGTCTGGACCTGGAGGGAGGCTGGCGGGGGGGGGGGGGGGGGGATGCGGGGGGGGGCACCTGGGACCTCTCAGATGTACCCAGGGCTCCGAGCTGCACCTGTGAAATGGGGTCAAGGCGGCGATGTGTGGCCGGTTCTGGTCACAGGGCATCATGTGGCACTCGGTCCCCGGCTAAAGACTTCATCACGTTGGTCAGCCGGACTGGCTTCTCATGAATGGCTAGCCCTGTGGGAGCTGGCTGAGACGGGTCAGGCAGAGCCATGTGCTAGGGAGCATCTCGCCCCTCAGAGCCCCACTTCTCCGTAAACTCGAATCCCGCCTTGCTGTGAGGATTAAATGAGATATAAACATTATCGCCCTGGGCCTCATGGCTCCTTCCTTCCCTATAAGGAGAGGAAGCTGGAGTTTTTGAACAGGAAATCTGGGGAAGTTCTCAGGCTTGGCTTAGATTTGAATGCAGGCTACCGTGGCAGACTCCAAGACACGGGGGTGCAGGGACACCTGTGTCAGACACTGTCCTCTGGGATCTGCCTGATGACCCTGGACAGGGGCTCTGAGTTCCCATCCCCACCCCCACCCCAGGGCTGTGCTTCCTGTAGGCATGGGGGAGCTGGTGTCAGTTCCCCTGGACAGGGCCTGGTGAGTGATGTATGGCTCCCTGAGTGTGGGAGGCAGGCTCAGGGGGCTGCACCCCACCAGAAGAGCAGGTGGATCCTGGCAGCATGCCAAGTGAGTAGTCTTGGAGATGGAGCTGGGGGCGGGGGGGGGGGCAGGGCAGGAAGAAAGTGACCTATTATCAGCCCTGACTCTCTCTCTCTCTCCCTCTTGGGGAGCCACGGGAAATGATGGGAACCAAGCCAGCCGAGCTGGGATCAAGCTATGGGATGCCACATGGATGGGGTGGGGGCAGGGCCAGGGCCAGGGGGTGACAGGGAGAGGCTTTGAGCACCGAACTGCCTCCCCAAGGGTTTTAACTGCCTCACCAAGGAGGAGGGGGCTGGACTGGCGTTCACATCCACATGCTGGAGAGAGGCGGGTCCTGATACAGGCAGGGGTTGCAGGCCCACCTGGGCCACTGATGGGGACACGGGGGCTGGGATGGGCTTAAAGTTGCGGTGGTCGCGTGTGTAAGGCAGCACAGAGGTCCTTGGGGAAAGGGGCTTTGTGGTGAGCATGCTGCCGGGGTTAGGGGCTGGGGTAAGCGGAAGGGAAAGACTGGGGTGGGAGTTCAGCAGGGGAGGGGAAGGGTGAGTGGCCAAGGCAAGAGGGTCTGACAGGCAGACAGAATTCACTTTCCTGAGGCTCCATGTACAGCCCTCGGGGGTTCCTTCTTGCTAGAAAGCTGGAGGCAAGGTCTCCAGATCAGATATGTACAATCAACGCTTTGCTCCAGAGCTGTGCCAAACTGTCCGGGGAGGGTCCTACTGTCAGAACCCCCACCCTTTCATCTTCTCTGCTCACCCCCAGTCCTGCCCCAGTCTGCCAAGATCCAACTCAGATCAGAAACTCCCCCTAGAAACTTCCCTGGATTAATCTGACCCTGTGGTCCCTCAGCCCTCCCCCCCCCGCCCCCTGTTCTTTAGCACTTGCTAAACGCCTTCTCCACTGCACCCTGTGGACAGTGTGTAGGGTTCTCGCATGCTCAGCCATGTCACAGTGTCCGTTAGCTCGACACCAGCGCTGCCACTAGTTCCTTCGAGACAGACACCGTTGTTTAAGCCCTTTCGTGCACACTTCATTCACAGCTCTGGGAAGTGACCAGGGTGTCATTGCCCAGAATGGCTCAGAGAGGTCCGCGGTCAGCCTCTGTGAGATCACAGAGCAAGAGCAGGAGAGGAAAGCCCAACCAACCCTGGCTCCTGTTTGGTTTTTTGGTTATTGGTTGTTTTTGTTTTGTTGTTTTGTTTTGGGCCACACCCGGAGGTGCTCCAGGGCTACTCCCGATTCTCTGTTCAAGTGGTCACTCCCGGAGCTTCTCCAGGAACCAGGTGGTGCCAGAGGTCGACTGGCCTCCCACATGCAAAGTGTGCCAGGCTGTGCGTGCGCTCAGCCCGTTGAGCTGTCCCAGGAGCTGTCCTGGTGAACAGCCGGCCAGATGACTTAGCAGCCTCACCCAAAGTACCTGGAGAGCACATTGAGTGTAAAAAAACTTGGAAATGAGTCTTTCCTCAAGGCCCTGGAAGGACAGTGCCCCCTGGGCCAGCCACGGGCCTGGAAGGATCTCTGAGTGCAGATCCAGACCCCCTGACTTTGGGCGGGGGTGAATCAGCCCTTCTCTGGAGTCCGATCCCCCACCCCCTCCACGGCCGCGTTGGTGCTCTTGAGTGCCCGTGTTCCGCAGTGTCCTCTGTGAGGTGGCAGAAACCACAGTGCTGGGGTCAGAGGATGTGGTATGGGCAGTGGTGGCAGCGTTTCTGGCCCGGCCGCTGTCTGGCCTGAGGCCCTGCCCCGCCCGAGGAGGGCTGCCAGCAGCCTGCTCATTAGTGGGGCAGAGAAGACCCTGTGATCGGGAGCCGGCTGGGCCGGGCCAGGTTGGCAGTGCCGGAGGCTGGCTGGCCCGGCCCTGATGGGGTCATTGGCAGGGCAGCTGGCAGGGTTGCCACTTCTCCTCCCTTTACAGCCTCCAGGGCAGTGGCAAGCACCCTCTGGGCACTGGGGCTTTGTCAACCAAGGCTTGCCCTGCTCTGGGAGACCGGGGATGCTTTCTCCAGAAGCTTCCAGAACCTCTCGGAACCCCGCTGCGTCCTCTGTGCACCCGCAGCCCTTCTCCGTATGCTGACTGCTTCCCTTGCCAACCGGGCCCAACTAGATCCTTTGCTGCCCAGACCCCCCAAAGCCTGGACCCTAACAGGGCACCTGGCACACAGTGGCCATGCTCTGAGCTGCAACGAGTCACTCCAACAGGTGCTTGATTCTCCCTGGGGCAGTGGGCTACGTGTGAGTGTGGGGCATGGGGGAGTCCGGGGGCGGGGGGGGGGGGGAGGACAAGGAACCTGGTTGTCCTGGGACCAAGGGTCCCAGTGACAAGCCAATTGAAGGGTCCACTGTGATGCAGGATGGCGGCATCCAGGAGGCAGGGGCTCCCCAGGGGATGACCCTTTGCTGCCCAGCAGGACGTGCTCGGTGAGCAGCTGCTAGCAGAGCAGTGAGGGGAGCGAGGGACCCCAGACGCTGGCTCTTCTCTGGCCCCGTCAGCTAGAGGGCCCGGATCAGGGAGCCTTGAGGGCCGCCTCCCAGATGCCAGGCAACATGGACAGACACCCCTGTGCCAAGCCAGGGCTCCTGTAGCCACCGTCTGTGTGGAAGCCTTGATTGAAGAATAAAGCTGCTTTTCCAC